CCAACCTAACAGCGATGGCCTCCAACCAAATAGCGATGGCCTCTAACCTAATACCAGTAGCCTCCAACCTACTAGCGATGGCCTCCAACCTAACGGATGACCTCCAACCTAATAGCGATGGCCTCAAACCTAATACCGATGGCCTCCAACCTAACGGATGGCCTCCAACCTAGCGGATGGCCTCCAACCCAATACCAATGGCCTGCAACCTAATAGCGATGGCCTCCAACCTACTAGCGATGGCCTCCAACCTACTGGCGATGGCCTCCAACCTACTAGCGATGGCCTCCAACCTACTAGCGATGGCCTCCAACCTATCAGTGATGGCCTCCAACCTAATAGCCATGGCCCCCAACCTAACGGATGGCCTCCAACCTACTAGCCATGGCCTCCAACCAAATAGCAATGGCCTCTAACCTAATACCAATGGCCTCCAACCTACTAGTGATATCTAGTGATGGCCTCCAACCTAATAGCGATGGCCTCCAACCTAATAGCGCTGGCCTCTAACCAAATACCGATGGCTTCCACCCTTCTAGCGATGGCCTCCAACCTAATAGCGATGGCCTCCAACCTAACGGATGGCCTCCAACCCAATAGCCATGGCCTCCAACCTACTAGCGATGGCCTCCAACCTAATAGCAATGGCCTCCAACCTACTAGCGATGGCCTCCAACCTACTAGCGATGGCCTCCAACCTAATAGCAATGGCCTCCAACCTACTAGCGATGGCCTCCAACCTACTAGCGATGGCCTCCAACCTAATAGTGATGGCCACCAACCTACTGCGATGGCCTGTAACCTAATAGCAAAAGGAACCTAATAGCAATGGCCTCCAACCTAGTAGCGATGGCCTCCGACTATTTACCGAGCATTGCGTTCCAAGTATACATGTGGTGCAGGTTTGTGCAACTCTTAACGCGTATTTCACCTTTGCCAAGCCCGTGTGTTTTACTGCATCAATACGTACCCACGTATGCACATGATATGGGCATCAGAAGGGAATAGTAGAAGTATGCGTACCTTATTGTTACGTTGCCACTGTATGGCTAATTACATACTTACTCAAAACAGCAATGAGGCATTCTATTTCAAGATGCTAATGTGGCGTCTTCCCATGAAAAGGGCCACGTGTAGAGCAGACCAGCCAGCAGCATCACAAGCATCAATTGACAATTTTCTCTGCGCCAGTAATTCTGCGACCTGGAAGTCTGGAATAGGATAGTCGGATAAAGGGGACAAATGGGCAACTAACAAAGTCTGCGCAAACTTGCCCTTCACATAGGAGAAGACATGAAAAGACCTAAAGCAGTGGGCCCCCAATAGATAGAAAGGATGTCCAATACCTATTGACAGGGGTTATACTTTTCCAGGCATTTGGGGGCCTCTTAATAAGTGATCCGTGGATAAGCGTCGATGGTCACCGATCCACTTCGGCAGGCGGTGTGCAGGCAAGTCGTCCCATTGGTATCGCAGGCGTCGGGATTGGCCCCCAGGCGAATCAGCCATCGAACACCAGCCAGATTGCGACTCGCTGAGAACAACAGCAATAGCCGGTCGACCTCATTCAGCTCCTCCAGAGTCTCAGTGAAAACAGCGCCTGCTGAATCACAAGCAGATGTGTCGTCAAAGAGCTCATTTTCAACTCCATGCTGCACCTGCGCTTTAGGGCACACCCCACTTTCATTGCAAAAAAGTTTGTTTCCCATCGAACTCAGTGGCCATGACGAGCGCTTTGGTCATGGCCTCATGCACGAGCCCTCAACACTTGAGCCCGCAATACAGCCGATCAGCCTCTAAACTAGGCTGCGTGTAAGCTCGAATCCGGGCGAAGAAACTGAGCAGACTTCGATTAACTGAGCGGCTGACACACACAATCACCCAAACCGCCGCAACAACCAGGCGTTTGGATCTCACAACACATGTGCAGCCAGGAACAACCAGGCGTTCGTCTCTATGCTCCCTCGCAGATGTGGGCCAACCGGTCGCTAGAGTTGACTCCCGAAAGCTCTGATTTTTCATCGGAGCTCTGTGCGAAAGCGCTGCCAATCATCGGATCGAAATGCGCTTTGTCCTATGACATGTGAAGCCTCCTTCATAGATTTAGTTCGAACAAGTTCAGGTTCCAGAGTCTCTCTGACACTCTGTTTCTCCCTCTGTTACATTCTGGATGGTCCAAATTTTGCAGTGAACATCGTTAAACATGATCCATCATGATCCTGTTGCCGCATGCATGTGCAATAACCACTGGTTACGATCGTTTGCTTAGAGGCTTCACAGACTTCATGGCATGATGCCAGTCCTCGTCCAAACACCTCAGTCCAACTTGAGATCGAATTCTGTCTTGGAGATGCCAGCCGCGTCAATGAGGAAGATTTCAGCATAGTCTCCAGTGTGAATGTCTCGTTCACCCACGGAGGAGAGGACATCCTTGCAAAGCTCGACAATACCCGCCTTGTCCAAAGACGGTGTCGCGATGGTTTGGTTTGACTTGGCGATCTGCGCATCCAAAACGCTCATTACCAAAGCACTACCACTGCCGCTGGTCGTGTAGGGAACTCGCTCCATGTTTCCGATTGCATCGTAGTTATACACAGCTCCCTTGCCCTCATCATCAACACCACCTGCACAAAAGCAGACATTGGCATGCTTGGCATAACTGTTGTTCAGCACGCTGCATCGTCAACTCTGTCTCCTCTCAATACATCGGCAACGGCCCTGTCCCAAAAGCAATGAAACATCGTGCAACCAAGCTGCAAAGCACATTGAACGTGTAGTAGGGAAAGAAGCGCTTGTAATACAAGGTGGTCGATAGCATCTGCGCAATTGCAGTCACTGACGGCTGTCGCCTGTGCTGGTGCTCATACATGACCTTGGCCATCCCACCCAGAGAGTTGCAGCTACCTGACATCTGTAGACAGTAAGAGCCGGGCCATGCGTGCCTTCAAGTGCTTGTGGAGCGTAATGGCGTCGGACTTCATGCCACAAGAAGCAATCACGCACTTGTCGGTGAGCTGCGTCACCTGCGTCCGATGACTCGACGCAGACTCGACTGAAGCAGACTGACGAAAGACCGGACCGTGCGGAGCGCACCCGCCTTGCTGCAATTGCGCGTGTGGATGCTGTAGCCCTGACTCAAACGTGTGTCAGCAGCAACCACCACAAAGTCTTCACCTCAGCGTCGTGAACTTTCCGCGCACGAGGCCCTCGCTAGTAGCTTGGAGGCCCTCGCTAGTAGGTTGAAGGCAATTGGTACTAAATTAGAAACAAAGAAAAAATAAGAAGTAAGAAAGGTCTAATAATAGTCTAATATAGTGTTCCAAGCCATCCAGCCCAACCTCCCATCCGGTGCTGCACCTGCAACTCCCATGCATGTGCCACCATTGTCGGCATAGGGGCTCCAGCGCTGCTCCACAGGGGCCTGACGGCAAAGCAGAGTTGTGTTCAAAACATGTGCGCGGCCAAAACCATCGAAAAATCAATCCCTCCCATATACTTAATTCTATTGAAATCCGACTCTATCACCTTCCCACCTGCATTGCAGTCTTGTTCTCTGTCTCCCCGGCTTTGTGTTTTGCACTTTGAGCCGAAACTAGATTGGCAAAAGCAAAACTACGGCGATAATTCTTCCAGGGTTTGCATGGGTTTGCACATGCCCATGCTTTCGACGTTTGCACACGCTCCGTCCATCCCTGGTGGGTAGAGCTTGCGCTATTCAACCATCCAGCCAGGGCCTATTCGACTGCCGAGTTTGGGGCGAAGGTCGAAAATAATGAAAATATAGGACTTGAGAGAGAAGGGGGTGAACGAAAGGTAGCAGGCAATCACAAGTAACCCTGGTAGAAGTCCAGGAGGCAAACCTTAAATCATACACCGTGAAAAAAGAGTCGAGGTTGTATGGGAGAGACGAACTTCTGTGCTTGAATCAGCCGGGTTTGTGGCCACTTTGAAGCCTACATATATAGCTTAAAACCATTGATATTTACATGGTTTTGTGCCAGGAAGGCGCACAAAACCGTGTAAATACCGTCGTTGTTTGCTCTTTTGAAGCCTCCAAAAGCCGAAAAAAAGCCTTTCCGACACAATCTTCCCTGGTTTTTGGACAGTTTTCGACCATGTTTGAAGCCTAAACACCTCAAAAACCATGGTTTTTTACGAGGTTTTTTGCCGGACAGCCACAAAAAACACTTTAAATTGCGTGGTTTGAGGCCACTCTTGAAGACTGGCGGTGTTTTCGTGAGATAGGCCTCCACTCTGGTTATAATTCATTTTTGCTAAAGCACAAGGAAAACTCAGGTAGCGTAACCGCTACCTTTCGTGATGAAAGAAGCACCGCCCTGTGGCGCAGGTTCGTTCGCGCAGCCCTCTCATGGTACAAATGGTCTCGATGTTCCACCCCCCAACCATCCCCAAGCTACTCCTGCTCCAAAATGATCAAAATGCCCGTGTCTGTCCGTCTGCGCGTGTCTTTCCGTTCGCGGTGGGGTGAAGGTTCTAAGGCTCCCGTCCCAGAACTTCCCATCTTCGTCAGGCTCATGGCGGCGGCGCACCTCATGGCGGGGGGGCGTCGCCCCACGTCTCACAGTCTCACCAGTCTGTGGGCGTCGCCCCAAGGAAGCGTTCGCGAGCATTGGGGGGAAACTTCACATCCAACTGTCTTCCAACAACCCTTCCGTGCCGAATTCCGAGTGATTCCGTTTCCGAATTGCTCTGAAAGGTTGAACTGCCACCCCTCTCGATGGGAATTCCGAGGTCATTAACGGATATACAACCCGAATAACATGTAGACTGTAGACTGCATCGGACTGCCACATTTGTATGTGACGCTGCAAGCTCAGAATCGCAAGTGAGATAGACCAACCGCAATTGAGATGGTTTCTGCTCACCAAGAATAACAATGTCATTTCAGAATACTGAGATGAAAAAGAGAGGTGGCCTGAGCACAGCGACTGCAGTGACTATAGCCATAAAGTAGGTGATTGCTTCCCTCCCCCATCCCCCATATATAGTTGCTAGAGATGGTTTCTCACTTTGCACCGCACATACATGCCAGAGCCAGAGCTATACATCTGCCGACAAAAACTGAATGTCTTGCTAGAAGCACACAGTTTCCCGATGAGTGTTCTCACAACATCCGGCGCAACAGAAGAGTGTCTCAAGCATGCCTCGAAAGCTGTGACTGTGGTGAAAAGTGTACTGAGGATTACTAAGGAAGGCTATCAATACACCTGAAATAAGGCAGGAAGGTCCCCATCGTTTGGGCCGCACATATCATACGATATCAGGAAAAGAAACTTGCAGAAATGTGCCCAAACCACTTGCCTTACAATCTGGCCTTCTACTATATGCGTCACATCGCAAGTTGTGTCAAACGCCAGAATCTCTGGCCTCTTCAGGGTCTTCGTCTGAATCACTTGGCGGATTCCAACCTTGGTCGCATGCGGCATTTCAGAGGAAAGAAAAGTGTTCAGCGTGCAAAAAAGTCCACGCGTTTTGCCCGTTGGGTCCGGGAAGAGCCACTCCGCCGTTCGGCGATGCGATGGTAGAGACGCTCGAAACGACGAGACGATCGGCGCTCCGCAAATCTCCTTTCGTCGCAAAGCCGAAGTCCTGTGCTGCGAAAACCTTCTTGGCTTTTGGAGCTGCACAGTACGATCAGCCGCATGAATCGAAACAGTTTGTCAGGAATCAGGAGCAGTTTCGCCAGGGGTCTGTGCGAAGTGTTGTCCATTGGTGCCACGACTTGCCAGTTCTCATGAATGAGTCATTCACCTTTCGGTCGTTGAAGGTCTTTGATCCGTTTTGATCCTAAATCACGCTGCAAGTCAGTCGCACGGACGGGAACGGGGGTCGCTCAATCTTACGACGAGCACGGACAACACACCTAGCTATCAAGCAGCTGCTCCTGTTCGACCATGTTGCATTGACCTTCTCAAAACGGAGGCTTGGAAGCATACGGTCAATATGTCACACTTTCAATCAGTTTCAGTATTCTGTTGTTGACAGATGTTGACGGTGAGTTGTTGCGTCAAAAGGGCAATGACCGTCCCCTTCCAGGGCGCAGTGGCGCAGTCTCCGTTCACCAACCCACTAAATGTCACACTGGCACACCTACTTTTACAGCGTGCCGCCCGTGCTTCACGCACGTGCAGTTTGTGGGTGGTTGGCGTAGTGGTTGGGCACAAGGGCAAATTCACAAGTAGGGACCGCCCATTGGGAACTTCATGGAACTTCATTTTTGGATATGGTTGGCATACTGTGGCACTAGTTGGCCATGCGTCATAACTGTATTTTACAGGATCAGCTCTAATAGTACTAACTACCTAGCTAACCCTGCTAGTCCGGTAAGCGCTACCTTTTGCTCTACCTTGAGAGTCAACGCTACGGGGTCCATGGGGATGAGGTGAATTTCAACACCCCCCTTTACAAGGAGCTACCCGTAGGGAAAATCTCGGGGAGGATCAAATTCTAGCGACGAAGGAATCATATTAGAAATCCCTCATCAAGCTCGTGCATGCACTATACAAGGAGAACGTAGCTACCCTAATGTACAGTTTTCGCCTCACTCGGCATGTGGTTAAACATGCTAGGCCCAGGTTAGTGTTAAGCATTGATTAAAAGTTCACTCTCCGACTATGGCAATCCTGTTATGGATGCATTGGGAAGTGAGACAATGAAGTGAAACATCATCTCACAGCGCGTCAGAAGGTGATCTTTATCTCAACACTCATAAGCTGCAAGGCATACCATTTATGGTAGCTATTCAACATCTGCTTAAAGAAATTGTATTCCAAAACGCTCCGTCTCGTCATGCCATCCCTGCCTCAACCACTCCCACAATTCCATGTGATTGGGCCAATAGTTCTCGCCCCATGGGTCATCGCGTTGCCATTGTACTCCAGGAAAATCAAAGGGTTCCAATGGTCGATCAATAGTTCCACGAATGCTGGAAGTCGGCGGCCCAGTTAAGGGTGCATTATGCGACGATGATGCCGAAGCGGATGAAGTTCCGGGTGGCAATGGCGGCGGTGGCACGTTTTGTACATTCCATTGCTGTGGAGCATAAGGTCCTCCTCGAACACTCACCTGCTGCTTATCCTTGCCCTTTCCTTTTACGGAAGGTTGCAACCGACTGTAAAGGTCTGTAAGCGGCGGCGGCTTCGGCGTGAGATTGAAATCTGTCGGCCTTGTATGTACCGGAATGCCACTGGCTGTATTGGGTGGCACTTTCGGTGGAGGAACCTTTGGAGGAGGCACCTTTGTTGGTGGGACCTTCGGAGGTGAAGGTTTTGCTGGACGTGGTTTTGAAGCCGGGGATAAGCCGGCCGTTGGTGCATCATTTGGTGCAGGTGGTGGAGGTGGTGATGCTGGGGCCTCTTTCACCGGTACTGACGGTGGATTGGAAGGAGGCTTTGGGATTGACGGTTTTGCAGGAGTGGATGGTGGAGTGCGAAGTGGAGGACCCAAAAGGTCCTTGGGAATGTTGCCACGCTTAGGTGGAAGGTCTTCACGGCTGCGAGATATTGCGCGGGCAACTGAACCGCGTGGCGTCCCTTTTGCGGGAGCAGTGGAACCTGACGCAGAAGAACTGCCTTGCCCTTTGCCCTTACCGGCAACATCTCCTCGCACACTGGCATCCCGTTTATGGGAGTCTCCTTTGCCTGATACTTGTCCTTGAGCAGGAGGTGCATTCATACGGAATACCGACGAGGTATGCGTCCCTGTTACGGGAGCTGGCGGCTGAGGCACGCCTGGCGGTGGAGTCCGGTTGTCAACCCAAGTTGCAATACGACCAGATTGATCTCGGTCTTCTTTCCTCCTCCACTGCAGCCTCGGTCGTTTGTCTGCATCTCCAATAGTCTCCATATACATCTGCGATCGCTTCCGCGTCAACGGGGGCCTTGTTACAGGTCCTTGAGGAGATGGGGATCCACGCTGTCCAAACTCCAACAAAAGTTCTTCCAACCTTCTGACTTCGTCAGATGACATGTCCTGGCCACAATCGGCAAACTTGGGATAAGGCGTGGCCATGCGCTGTTCGATGTTCATGAAGCCCATCTGTGAAACTGGCTGTCCACGATCGCGTCCCTGCATATTTGCAGACTGTTGCGCGTTTCTCTGATATTGAATGTTTGCATAACTTTCATTCTGCTCTGCAAACTCACTCAAAATCTTGTAAATGCCTGTCGTGTCTCCACGAGGAATACGAATTGAATGAATATCGCCATAGACGTCCGTCGTGGGGATAAAGCCCTGGATCTTGATCTCATCTCGGCTATCGCCAATTACGGCGGCGTATTGTCGGAGTGACATAAACTCTCGGCGATAACTGATCAGAAAGTCCTCGTCGACGCCTTGCTTGAAACAGGTATGTAGGTTGTCAACACCGCATCGAATATACGCGAGCTTGGCGAGGTCAACCCTGTCCAGTCGATCCAAATCACTGACAACCGACTTCCCTTTTGATCTCTGCTTCGCTGATCTCGTGGGTGCCGGTAATTGCAGTGACGCAAACAAGTCTTCTTGCGCTGCATCAAACGCTGTGCATCCTTCTCCGGTTAAGGAGGTGGCGAAGACGTCGTCGCGGTTGAATCGATCGAATACATTCTCATACCCTGATTTCAATGCTTTGCGAAGGCGACTGCGAGCTGCAAGAATAATCTGACTGTCAACTGACGGGCTGCCACGAGCTGGAGGTCGTCCAGACTGTAGGTCCTGCGCGGCAATGCTGTCAAGCATGCTTGTTGCGGTCATGTTCTTGGGCACGCCCCCCTGCTCTTGTAGCACCTTTGCACGCCTCATCTGAAGTCGCATAAACTTTGAAATCGGTCCATCTGTTGTATTGCTCTGAAATACTACTCCGCATCGATGACAAGATGCCATTCCTGCTAAGGAAAGTGTCGTACATTTGTCGCAGCTGAAAGTTCGAAGATGTAGAAAATATCCACTCTCGATCTGTGGTACAGCTGTATTGCGATTTGCCTCCATCTCTTCCTTCTTTGCGGCACTGCTGCTAGCTGTGCGTTCTTCGGGAGTGGCGTCGCTTGTACCTTCCAAAATGGTGCGTACTTCCGACACTTTTCCCGGGACCAATGTCACATCATCTTGCGGAACACCGATCTCAATGTTCGAAGGATCCAATGCCTGCGGCCTCGAATAGAAAACTTCTGGCTCCGCATTTGCGCGGGCTCGAGTTGCAAATAGAATACACGTATTCGGAACGTGATGGCTGGTAATCACCGCGCCAGAATTTGTGAGGAAAAGATCAACTCCTGCTTCAATCACATCCGGTGTTGAAAAACAAATCTCCACTGGTCGGTCAGCACGAACACCAGATATCGCCTTCTGGTTTCCCAGAGGTTGTGTTGAAAAGAAGGAATTGCCTTTGCTTTTCGGTCCACCGGCTCCACCGCCGGGAATGAGCCCGCTCGCAATAATGGATCGCGCAGCACCTTCATGCGTTCGGTGGTAAAGCCGAGGTGGTATATCGCGGTTCCCGTGCGCTGTCAAACGAGCATTGTACCTGTGTACATGGTCAGGACGGCAGTAGATTAGTACTGCTAGCACTTCATTTGATCGCGTCTCGAGAACGTCGTCGGTGTGGCCTTGTCCACATCGGATCTTGACGGGGGCGGCGAAAAGTTCGAGCTGCTCGTTCACACGAGAGTCGTACACGCATTGAAATTCGAAACGATCTTTGTTGTCATAAATAGCCATCGAAATCAACTCAAAAACATTCATAGAATCAGCATAATCAGGGAATTTGGCCTTCGCCAAATCTAGTAGTTTGTAAATTGGCAAATAACACGCCGGATCATAAATACTGACGTCTGGGACGTGTCCACGAAGAAGACCAGAAATACCGCGACGAACATGATGTGGCCAGGAGCAGCACCACTCCCAAGGCCCATGATGATAATCCTCATATACATAATAATACCTATGGCCAGTAACGTGGTACAGCACGTACTGCTTGGCGTCGCGGCCCAGCTCATCCTCGAGGAGTTGGATGTTGCCATTCCCGATGGCCTTGAGTAGGTGATCCGGGTAAGGATACCTTCCGAGAACCTCTTCAACCTCGACCTGCATATTTTTGTACTCGGGGTTAGGCTTCGTCTCGCGAACGAGAACGCCCTTCCCTTTTCCAGAAAATTTCAAGTCGGGGTTGTCGTTGTTCTCAAGTGCAAGAAAGCTCCCCGTTACGGGAGCGACCGAAGGGGTGCCTTGTCCCTGCCCTTTGCCTCGCAATCGCGGCAATGGTGGTCTCGAGTCAGATGAAGACGCTTGACCCTCTGCGGGTTGGTCCGCGTCCGTAGGGATCATAGGAACATCTCCGGTTGCACCTTCTTCAACAGTCGTTTCATCATCAGCCAAAACATCAAGAACCTCGGCCTCGATCTTCGCCATCTGTGGATCAGGTTCTGGTGCT